TCTTTGTTTCTGTCCGCGTTATAGAGTAGAAAACTTGATTTTGGGGGGGGAGGGGAGGGTTTCTTCTTCGTGTTTTTCTAGAAAAATTCATTTGATGGCCCATTTTTGCTCTTAGTTGCGGACAGATCCCGTAGCAGCTTTTTAACCCTCTTGACCTCTTCTAATCTAGAGGCATTTTTGGGTATTTCACAGTGAGTTTTTTTCCTTTCCTTTCACTTTGTCGGATAGAAAACCCGATTTTAGTGGGGGTTTCTTTTCATATTTTTCCAGAAAAAGTCGTTTTGGACCTCATTTCGGCTCTCAGTTCTGGCTGGAACTTTTCTTCCCCTAGCATGTCATGGTGCTTGTCGAGGTGCTCGTGGGTGCTCATAGGGTGCTCGTCTTGACGTCGTGACGTCGACTTTTGTTTTCACTCGTTCTCCTTCGTCCGAACTCCAAATCGAGTGAAATTTTTTTTGAACTTGACTAATTTTTTGCTGTCTTTCCAACGGTGTGTTCAGTTACACCTAGATCTTCCTAGATAATTACCAGTTTACCCTTTTAGCCTTAAGTGCTTGTTTTTCTTCGTCATACTGTTTCTCCTTCGTCCGGACTACGAATCATGCGATTCTTAGGTCCATCTTTATTAGTTTTTCATTGCCTTTTTAGTAGTGTACTTGGTGGCACCCGAATCCATAGTTTCAAAAATGACTATATTGCCCTTGGGGCTATTTTTGTCCAGTTTTCTTGTAATTCGCTTTCGCTACTTTCTTTTGAGTTCTATGACTTCACGGGAAGTCATGGATGTGTCTCGGGAATAATATACATTCTAGGGACGTCATTTCCATGTAAAATGACTATTTTGCCCCTGGGGGCTTATTTGTCATATTTCCGATCTTTTGCTTCCGCATCAGTTCTCATTGAGTTCCACAACCACATGGAAGGTCATCAAAGTGTCTTAGAGGTGTGTTGTGCCTTAGGAGACCGTTGTCTTAATTTTTTACTTCCGCATCTGGATCCGTTATCGGGTCAATCTTCAGTTCATTATAGGACGCACTGGCTTGAAAAATCAGGGTTGTCACATTCTACATTTTGATTTAGTTGGATTTCAATTTTCTTATATTTTTTTATTGAATCCAAATGGGGAGTACTTCCTTATTTACATTGTAAACTTAAAGTAAATGGATATATAAATACTGTAAAGACATTTACTTTAATGTTTAGAATGGAAATAAGGTATATGCATATGTCATGTACTGAAAGTCCTATGCATAAGCTGTCATCTGTCAAAACTGTCAATGCACCAGGTTTCACATCGACCGGTTCTAACTTCACGTTGACCGGTATCTAGGCAGTACTAAATTTCAGGAACACAACTTTCACGTCGACCGATTTGGATTTCATATCGACCGGTTTGTGCAAAACCGTCGACCGGTTTGAGCGAAGACGTCGACCTGTTTCTGCTACATGTCGACCGTTTCCTGTCGATTCTACAAAATTCAAACTATAGCGGCTCTATTTTGCTCGGGCCTTGTGCATTCAACTCCTAACAGCTCTTTTAAGTTTGTAAACTCAATAAATAGAGTGAGGAATGTCTAAGCATGCAAGAGACATCATATTGCATTAAAGAGCTTTTGTTCTTATCTTCTCTTCATCTCTCTCATTTCATTCTTATATTAATCTTGAGAGATTTAACTAAGGATTCAAATGGCTTTTTCTTTAATTCTAATCCTCAAAGAGCTTTTGCTCTATTCTTCACTTGAGAGATTATATCGAGTTCATAAGAGCGTTTGTTCTTCATTTATATCGTCTTCTCTCATTCACATCATTCATAGAGTTTAAGCTTCACTTATATTCATCAATACTACAATTGTGAGCTAAAATTTGTACACTTATTTATCTTTGAGAGATTTCTCATACTTCTTTTATTTGTTATAATCGATTATAAAGGGTTGGTGTGACCCAAAGGAATACTAAGGGATGGTTGTTCTCTTAGTAAGGTGAAGTAATGAGTTGCTTCACGTAAAGGTTTGCTCTCCACCCGTAAGGAGAAGTCATAGTGGAATGGGAAGTCTTAAGAGGGGTCTTGAGCCAAGGAGTAGGAGTTTCCAAACCTCGCTAAAACTGTTGAGTCATTGTTTCCAATTTCTCTTCCCTTATCTCTTTTACAATTGTGCTATAAATTGTTTACTTTCATATCTTGATTTCATATATTGATTATTGCATAATTGGTTAAATTGTTGATTAGAAATTGTATTTCTATAAATTGTGAAAATTGGTCATTGACTCTATTCACTCCCCCTCTAGAGTCAATTCTTGGGCAACAACTGTTCTATGCTTTTGTTCAGAGCATACTTCCTCTGCGTCTACTAGTTTAAGGTTCTTTGTTTGGGCTCTGCTTTGGGCTTTGGTTTCGTATATTTTGCTGGGCCTCTTTAATAGCCTACTTGTGGTGTGGGCTTATTTCCTCTATAAGCTATGCATAGCAACTCCAACAATTATTACAAAGATAATGCTAAAATGGTTCACAATAGACTAAATTTATGAATAACTAAACAAGAGGCATTGATGTAAAAGAAGGGTAGAATAAATAAGCCTTATGCTCCAATTCAGATATGGCCCATGGTTAGTTTGTTGGACTTTCGTGCTTTGTAAGCCCAAAGTCTGGGTTTCGAGTCTCCGCTGGGTATTCTTTGTGGCTAGCCTCCACTGCCCTTGCAGTGACTTACCCGGCTCGGGTGGGGAGGCGCATTTCTGGGTCCTTGGAGATTAGTCGGATTGTTGAAAGGCCCTTGGGTTCGTGCTGATTAGTCGGACTGTTGAAGGGCCCTTGGGTTCTTGCCTTTCCGGATACCCTAGGTTAATAAAAATAAATAAATAAATAAGCCTTATGAATGAGGACGATAGAGGTAATTAAATAAGCATATACAAGCGCACAGAGGGCATACCCTCAGAAATTTACTAGGAAGTACAAATTCTTAAATAAGAACCATTAAATAGAGAGAAAACAAAAGAATGAAAACTATATAATGTCTCTAAGTGAGACATTATAAACATCAAAGACCTCTAATAAGATTTTTCTAGCCACCTGGAACTAGAACTGTGTCCATGTAGTCTACGATTCCTCTCCTGTCAGACGCTCCAAAAGCAAGAAGTAAAGTTTTGATCATTTTACTGGTTTGCAGCAAGTCTTCTAACTATATTAATAAAACTTAAGTCCATATTCCAACCAAACGTATCCTTCAACCAATTCCAGAAATTCCTAGCAAAAGGGCATTTGAACAAAAATATCATTTCTTGTATCAATCTGTTGTAGACAATTAGAGCATCTTGGTGCCAGCTGAACTTTCCTCTCCTGCAGATTAAACATTGTAGGCAATCTATCTTAGAATAAAAGTACTCCATGAATTGACCATCTAGGCCGAGCTTTCCCCCAACAAATATAAGACCACAGAACCTCTGGATTGGTAGCTCTACAGCCCTGCCAAGCTTTCTTAAAATTAAAATCACCTCCATCCGAAAGAAATCTATCTAGTCTAGCATGGATATGCAATGTTTGCAAGTAATCTGTAATAGGCGTGAAATTTTCTTCTTACAAGAGATCAAAATTCCATCCTCCATCTATAATGAGACTAGACAAAGGAGCAGACCAAGAGAACCCCAGCCTTCTAACCATTCTGTGCCCAAATTTCTATAACATAGTTTCTCCTTCACACCAAGGGTTTGTCAAAACCTTGAATATTTGCCCAGTTCCAATAGAAAATTGGATTTTAGTCAGCATAATATCCCTAACACTAACCAAACTTTTCCACAGAATTGAGTAAGAGATCTTTGGAACTAAATTCCAGTATGTTGAGCTAGTCGCATACCTGTTTTGAAACCAAGAAACCCATAGTCTGTCTTTACTGAGTAAGAAATCCCAGGCCAAAACACAATGAGAAGCTATCTGTAGGTCCTTTAATTTTCGTATACCTAACCCTCCCTTAGTTTTTGATCTACACATCATATCCCAGCTTAGAGGGTGTATTTTCTTCAAATTATTCCTGCTTCCCCATACGAAATCTCTAAACATTTTCTGAATTTGATTGATGATTGCAAAAGGAAGGGGGAAGACACTACACCAGTACAAACAAATTGGTGTTATAACAGTTTTTATCAGTTCTGTCTTGCCTGCAATTGACAGCAACCTGGTACTCCAATCGGAGAGCTGCTTAGAAATTTTATCAATAAGAGTAGAGCAGTGAGGCCTTTTCAAACCAGAAGAGCATAATGGGATCCCCAAGTATTTTAAAGGAAGTGATTCCTCTTTGCACTTAAGCAGGTTCAGAATTGCATTTTTTCTTCCAACACATTTGGAGAAGATCACACTACTCTTTTGATAACTGATATTAAGACCTAAAGCATCTCCAAATTCTTTGAAGATTTCTTGAAGAATTCTAGCATTAAAAACTGATGCTTTACAGGTAATCAATAAACCATCTGCAAAAAATGTATGACAGCAAGTAAAATTGGCTTTCTGTGCAGTTTTTGACAGAGTTGTCTTCCAGATAAAACTTTCGTATTAATGAGTTGGGTGAGTTGAAATAGAAAATTTTGGCTTCCAGTTTGTATCAAGTCTTCCAGTTTTTGGCTTTCTGTGCTTTTCGCTAGTCTAGATGCTAGAAAAGAAAATTTTCTGAATTCAAAGGGTTTGTTTGGTATCATCTTATTACAACATGTCTATGCATAAAAGAATACAAACATTTAAAAATGTCTGAAAAAGTGAAAATTCCTTTTGATGGAAAGGGAAAAGGGTTTTTTTCTTTCTTTTCTTCCAATATTTTTATTTTTATTTATTTTTGTTTTTTTCTTTCTTTAAGTCCCAACTTCAAAGAACAATTATACATATTTTTTGATTCACTGAAAAATGTTCTATATTTTCAGAATTATTGAAAGATATTTATGACTCCACAAATTTCAAGTCCCACCAACTTATATTGAGCAAGAGCCAATATTAGGCATTTTTCCCATCTAGCGATATATAAAAATAACAAAAATGCAGATTTTGTTCTGAGATTACAAGACAATAAAAATGACCAGCAATTTAAAGGCAGGTCCAGTCAAAATTACATAAAGATCATCCATTACAAAACATACATAGAGCTAAAATCTGGCAAGAAGAAAAATAAAATAGAAATAGTCCAAGAGAAGTCCAATAGATCTAAAAAGTACTATACTCACCAATTACTGGCCTGTTTCAATTTTTTCCCAATAGATCTAAACAGTACTTTTGAGAAGTGAATTCCATTGATGAATATGCCTTCCAACAAAAATCCTGGTAAGGATTCACCATGAAGCAGCACCAGACAGGAGAAAAACAACAGCCCTGCCAAAGATCTACTTTTAGCGGTTGTTCCTTGACACGCACAATGCTACCAAAGTGGATGGATAAAAAATAGGAGATAAAAGCTTGATACACAAACTTTAGCTCGTAAACACAAAAGTACTGTACGTAAAAAATATCAGAGGGATAAATTGAGGTGTGCTTGAGTGCATATATAGATATAATTTCTTTTGTTGATTTAACAAATCCAATTAAAGCACGCATAAAACATAATATAGATTAGAACCATCAAGGCGAATAGAAAATGACTAAATCAGGGGTACGGATGAGCTATTCCAGTGGTTGTCATGATTCCACTGTTGCTTTTTGGCTTATAACGGAAAATTAGCATATATATGTACTTTTTCATATTTAAATCAATTTGTTTAGTATTGATGACCTTCCAAAAAGGCTCTCACTCAAATTGAGCAACCTATGAGAGTCTTTATACGGACTGACTTCACCCAAATCTGAATGCTGATTTTTAGATGAATATATGCAGGAAACCTAACAAGTGATTGTCATGATTCCACTGCTGCTTTTTGGCTTACTAGAGACGATAAGTATATCAATATATGCACTTTTTTGTCTTCAAGTCATATTGTTTAGTATTTTTGTTCTTCCAAAAAAGGTTCATTCAAATTGAGCAACTTATGTGTCTTTCTACAGGGTGATGCTGAACTCAAATATAAAGGTGCTAAAGTGGCTTAGCAAGCCATTTATAAGAGTACAAATTAAGGTATATGTCTTTAGAAACTTGAACATTGGGACAAAATTTTCAATCATAAGACTCAAAATGTGGGGGCCTATGTGGATTTTGTTGATAGTATGAAACTATAGTTGGCCATCCTCACATCGTTGGGCTTTCCCTTAATGGCGCAACACTCCTTGCCTCCCATCACTCGACACAGCAAGGCCAGCCCACTGATAAGTGCATAATTTGTACATACTTCATCTCCAAAATTATATTTGTTAGTATTTTATTTTTGATTATTTTATTTAATAAATTTGTTTTGGTGTTTTTTAGGTTATTGGTGATTTTTGCAGAAATGGACTGTATTTGCAGAGTCAGTCAGCAATACAGTCAGTTAGCTTATAGTGTGGAAATCAAGTGTCCAAGAGAATCCAAGGGTCAAGATAATTAGTGAATTCTAGAAGATTTCTAGTTGAGCAACTTATGTGAGTCTTTCTACAGGATGATGCTGAACTCAAATATAAAGGTGCTAAAGTGGCTTAGCAAGCCATTTATAAGAGTACAAATTAAGGTATATGTCTTTAGAAACTTGAACATTGGGACAAAATTTTCAATCATAAGACTCAAAATGTGGGGGCCTATGTGGATTTTGTTGATAGTATGAAACTATAGTTGGCCATCCTCACATCGTTGGGCTTTCCCTTAATGGCGCAACACTCCTTGCCTCCCATCACTCGACACAGCAAGGCCAGCCCACTGATAAGTGCATAAGTTGTACATACTTCATCTCCAAAATTATATTTGTTAGTATTTTATTTTTGATTATTTTATTTAATAAATTTGTTTTGGTGTTTTTTAGGTTATTGGTGATTTTTGCAGAAATGGACTGTATTTGCAGAGTCAGTCAGCAATACAGTCAGTTAGCTTATAGTGTGGAAATCAAGTGTCCAAGAGAATCCAAGGGTCAAGATAATTAGTGAATTCTAGAAGATTTCTAGAAGAGTTTTCACACATAAAGTCGTTTGGGAATTTATATTGAGGCAAGGCATCTTCCATATTCTAATCTTGGAAAAAATACCTGGAAGGAACATTCTGAAGTTGTCTCAGCAAATTGGTCATAACTTTTGACTCCGATATCGAAATTATGCAAACTCAGCGGCTGTGGAAAGAAAACTTAAAGCCCGTCATTTTTGTATTTCACAAAAATTTCATGAAAAGCAGGTCTACTAGATCAATAATGGGCTGCAAGTCGACGCAACTATGGAAAGAAGACTTAAAGTCCGTCATTTTTGTATTTCACAAGAATTTCATGAAAGCACGTCTACTAGGTCAGAATTGGGCTGCAAGTCGACGCAAATATGGAAAGAAGATTTTAGCAGATTTCTGTGTCAATAATTTTCTATTTCCTTTTTCTAGAGGAAAACCCTAAAGGATCTCTATATAAGAGAGAGAGACGAGCAGTAGAGAGGGGGAAGAAAGGGAGAAAAAAATAGAGAGAGGAAGTGATCTGTGGCTAAGAAGCAAAAGTGGGAGGCTTGTGCAACTGACAGAGAAAATACAAAAGATCTTCTACTCATGATTCCAAGTTTGATAGTTGTTATTTTATTAAGCATGAGGTTCTAATCTCTCAACCAAGGCTGAGAGGAAACCGTAGTCTTGTAACTCTATGTTTCAATTGTTAAATTTGGTTGATGTTCATATTTGAAGAATAAAATCTTTTTCTATACCTTTAAATGCATGTTTCGACACAATTAATTTTATGTGCTTAATCATATACTAAAATTGAATGTATTTGGGACTCTAGCATAAAGGTTACTTGTGTCTGACCATGAACAAGTAATCTTCATAGGGCTACTTGAGAAAAATATAATAAATTATGACAATTTATGCCTAACCATGGATGAATAGTCGTATTGGGATTCAGAGGGGGGGTTTTGGTATTCGGAGACTGGAGTTGTTTAACAAGGCGCTACTAGGCAAATGGCTGTGGAGATTTGGGAGGGAGAGGTCCGTTCTTTGGAGGAGGATTATTGCTTGTCGGTATGGAGAGGGAGATGGTGGGTGGCTGTCAAGGGAGGTGAGAGTTCCAGCAGGGTAGGGTGTTTGGAAGGGTATCCGGAAGGGGTGGGACGAGTTTTCTAAACGCATCTGTTTCAAGATTCAGAGTGGGAATCACGTTAGATTTTGGGAGGACCGTTGGTGTGGGGATTGTGTTCTTGCTCGTGGGTTTCCTCGGCTTTTCAGGATTTCTTCGAACCAACACTCCATGGTTGCTAATTGTTATCATCTTGATAATGGAAGGTTGACCTGATACGTGCAGTTTCGTAGAGAGTTCCATGATTGGGAGCTTGCGGAGATTGTTGACTTTTTGGCCCTGCTGTGCAGGCAGGAGGTGGAGGGTCCAGGGATGGATGAGATGGTGTGGGTGGGCTCGCCGAGGGGACTGTTTAAGGTCAGGGCGTTCTATCATTTCTTGTTGGTGATCCCAGGCTATTCCTTCCCTTGGAATGTAATTTGGAGGTCGATAGCTCCATTGAAGGTGGCCTTCTTTGCTTGGTGTTTAGCCCGCGGTAGCATTCTCGCCCTTGACAATCTTAGAAGGAGATGACAAATCGTGGTTAATTGGTGCTGTATGTGCAAGAAGACGGAGGAATCAGTGAATCATCTCCTTATTCACTGCCCGGTAGCAAGGGATGTTTGGTATGTTTTTGGTTGCTTTTGGCATGGTTTGGGTGTTTCCTAGAACCACGGTGGATTTGATTGAGGCTTGGAAAGGGTGTCTAGAGGAGAGCCGAGCCAAGGTTGTTTGGAGAGCCACTCCCCTTTGTCTTTGGTGGGATTGTGGCACGAGAGAAATAGCAGACATTTTAAGGGCAAGAAGACTCCTATTTGGTCTCTCAAATACACTATTGTGCATACCTTATTTTTTTGGGTTAATACACTATAGTGCATACCTTATTCTTTTGGGTTAACAGGCAGAATTGTAAATCTTTGGGGAGCTCTTTTGGATTTTGTGGATAGTTCAAAGTTTCAGTTGTTACCTTTGGCACTTTTGTGTATTCCTTTGGGAGCGCTCAGAGGGGAGCGCCTTTCTATGAAATTTTTTACTTGATCAAACAAAAAAAAGAAAAGTCGTAATTTATATATTTTTCTTCAATTGATTATTTATGATTCATGACCAAAATAATAAATATTTAATTGAATCTATTCTAACCAAGAATAGACCATCTAAGAATTTAAAAGAAAATATCACGTATTGGATGTGTGGAAATTAAATCGAACATTTGGTAAATTTGCAATTAAAAGTAGAGTTGCCTTGGTACTTATTTCCATTGTCTTTTTATTATTGTTCTTTTAGCTTGAATCATTCAATTTTTGGTTGAATTAGTTAAGTAATAATATTATAATTAGGTTGTTCTAATCAATCATTGTGGGAATGATCTTGCAATACACACCGTGTCTACATATGATTCTTATTCCTGCGAATTTAATTTGATTTACATTGATTTATTAATTAGGTTGATTTAAATATACATCACCCACCAGTTTCAAAGGAGCCCACATCTACCTCACAGGAGCCCCCCATATAGTTTAAAACCTTTGCCATCTGATTGTCATTTTTAGTGGTAAATCACCCCACTTTTGCCACGCACCTACCATACTCACCCACTCTTTCCAAGCTCGTGAGATTCACACCGTCTTCTTCCTTCCAACACTGGCACTCTCAGCAACTCCTCCACCCTCTGTCTGCTTCATCTCGCTCCCAACCATCCCTTCGCTGCATCCCCTCCAAACTCCACTGCTCCTCTGTCATTAGAAGGCACTCATCCATGCCAGAGATGGTTTTCAGTGGCGGAACCAGTTTGGATTCCTTTTTCTACACCACAACAATATTCTAGTAGAGTCTCTCCTCGTTCATCATGATTGAATCTGGAATGGGACCTCCACTCTTCATGACAAGAATCATCCTCCCTGCATCCACCTCCACTCCTTTATATCAACCGCAAATATCTCCAATCGCTTCAAATAATGCTTGAAAAAAAATTGAAGAGGCAAGTCATACACCACGATTCTAAGCTCTTCTTCTTCCTCAAAATCCAGAAAAACCCACCCTAAATGACCATACACCTAAAGCAACCTCGCCTCTTCCCACCTCCTCTTCCCTCCATCAAAATTGCTTCCTTCTGAGATAGGAGTCTGAATAAGAGCAACAAATCCAGTAATGGAGACACCCCACTACACATCAAATCCTCTAAGCTTTTGTCACCCATTCTTCTATTTGGGAAAAACTTCCAACTTCTCTAATGAAACAACCCATTCTTCTATTTGAAAATTTTCTTCCATACTTTAAGGCTTTAAGCAGCTTCAAGGCTACAACTTGGATTTTGTTGCCCATGAAAAACCCTACCCCAAGTGCATTGAAAACACTTAAAAATTCCCACGAATGGATTTGTTTCTTGTTTTATCCCTTTCTTACATTGCTACTCACTTATCTCAACATACCATGGCCCCCGAGTAGTGTCTCTCATAAGTCACAACAGTTATTAACTTGCCAATACCTTTATGTCTTTTAATATAAACAGGGTATGGTAAAGGTTTTAATAGAAACCATGTATTAAATGCACAGCAATTCTCAAAGGCAATGTGTCTACTAACTGTAGGTATCAACAAATAAAGAGCTAACAAGAAACCTATAAAAAGGTTACTATAACAATAATAAATAAACCTCCTACATAGGTTTTTCCTTTCTTTACTGGAAAGAAACTCATACAAAGGCATTCGAAGTACAGGAATTCAGGCTCTAATAGACGAGAGAGAGAGACTGCAACTATATGCATTTTTCTGTTTATTGCTTAGGCTATAATTGATTCGAGCTCACAGTAGGAGTTTAGAAAACACACATCCTGCCTTCATAACAACTCCTAACAGCATTTTGAACCATCATGTGTTAATTGTTTCTCAATTTGTACATGACTGTAACCTTTAGCCTTGCCTATATTTCTAAAAACTAGTATACACACACACAGTTACAAACATATCCAACCATATGTAGGACTGCCATGATTGAGACCCACTTTTGGCTACTAAAGCTCTGATGTAATGATAGTAATAAGTGCCTTCTTTGAATCACAGCACAAAACATGACAAGCCACAGGCAGAGAGCAAATAACTACCCTACAGATGATTATAATAGGAATGGGTATGAATGTTTCATACAAGTATTCTGTTTAAAACTACCGATCCAGATACTTAATTTATGATTCCAGACTCACACCTCATGCATCATCTTGTCCGTCTCACAAAACTTAGTATATGTGCAAAGTTCCATATGGAAATGAAATCACATAAAACTTGGTAAAGTCCAGAAACTCACATCTTATGCATCAGCTCATAGCTTCTCAAATCAAGGTTTAACATGCAAGCAGGGTAGAGAGAGAGAGAGAGAGACACACACACACACACACACGTTACCTATTTTAAATAACAATTTCCAAATGAACCACCAATGCAGCTATGTGGCAGATGTGTTAAGTACTATGATTGTGATTCAGAAAGTACCTGTACAAAGAATGCACCATACAAGCCAATACTTTAGCTGCTTTGGAGCACCTTCCGCGGATCAAGTTGTCCACTACAATAACTAGAGGGAACTGTAGATAGTTCTTGCCTTCCTCTCCACTCTTCACCAGGCTTCAAGGTGATGGGCTTTTCAATAGTTGCAGCCTCAACACAAAGCATGTGCTTGTACTCATCATCCCCGAAATCAGGGATTTCCTTTGCCTTCTTATCCCAGGGATTCCAAACCACTAAAAGAAAACAAATATTTCAGGAACCGAGTAGAATTGAATTACGTACGCCAAACAATTAATGTTAAGGGACAAGATGTAGAATTCTATGTAATGTCAAGTTAGTGCATGTTCAACTATATCTATATATCTAACTGTAGTCGGGAAGTAGTGAGGATTATGTGCTTGGACAACTTCAAGCTAGGATTATAGGGAAGACTACAGAGGATGCACGGGCTATGACTTATCCGGAACAACTGTCAGATTTGAGCAATCCATCATTTATACCCACATGATGACAATATAAAAATACAAATTTCAACCATGAACACTTGCAAGAGCTACCAGATTGGAACCTAGCTCAAGATTTATACTGCAAATGACAAAATCTAATATGAGTTAATGAACAGGTCTGATTTGACAGCCAAAGGGTTTCATAAATCTTACAGAGAGAACGCCCTCTCATAGCTTCTCCAGGTTTTACACAAAATAATTAGTACAACCAAAAATTTCCCTTGGCTGCTTGGACTTCAAAGCTGATATCTTGTCATGGTAGAAGAAAGGTCATCTTAACCATTGAATCAGACGGAACAATGATAAAAGCATTTATTTGTCTCATTATTTTTTTTCACATTAGTAATAGTAATTTCACAAGTGCATGGATTTTCTTCTTTCATTTTATTTTATATTTTTTGGGGGACGATTATTATACCCACTAAAATCCTTTCACCAGGCTAGTTGGTGCAAACTCAAAAGTTGCCTGAAATTCAAATCTAGGTGAAGTTTTGGACGCAGTAAACTACATATTACAACCACCCAAAGTTCATACAATCCCAACAGCATTTTTGTCCGCTCGTTTATCCATGTTAAAAGAAGAAGAAAAAAACATTAACAATCGTGACAAACCAGCCATCTAGCTCATGATATGCAGCACAAATTGCTAGGATGTATCCTCCTTGCAGAAAAGACAAACACCCCGACAGATTATTCATTATTCTGAACACCCGTTCCAAATTCTATTCAGCGAATAACTCTAACAATTGTTCACATACACCTTTCTAGATAAGCATATTAACGTCCAACTTGAGATCTGACAAAGCAGATGGACATGGCTAAACTTACCAGCATCAGGAAGTCCATCTTTTCGCAACACAAATGTTCTTTTCTTCTCATGATCCAGAATTGCAATTTTGGTTGGTGTGCTGACATATACTTTATCCACCTTTTTCAAAAAGAAACAGGGAAATTTATTAGAGACAAAACAAAAAAAAAAAAAAATAGAAAGACCACTACCATCCCATGAAAAGAAAATAATACTGACTTCTGATTCAAATGTTATCGCATCCCCTTGCTCAGTAAACCGCTGCCTACCCTGCAGGTTGTCCAGATAATCCAGAGTCTCCAGTCCTTCTATCCGCACTTCACTGTGCACAACAAATTCAAGAAAAGTTACCAGCACATTAAGCCTATAGAATTGGTTTCTCGGACAGAAGGGATCTTTTCTAGGCGGATTGTGGGAATGCACTATTTCTTTGATTTTTCCTTTTCCTGTAAATAAATACTCCCTCCATCCCATTTTACTTGTCCATTTTTGGGAACCTAACTTTTTAAGATGGAGGCTTTTTTTTTTTTTTTTTTTTTTTTTTCTATTGGTAGTGAATGAATTTCCAAATCTTTTCTTTTAGAAATTGTCTTGAAACAGTGATTGGACCCAGATTTGACAACTTCAAGAAGAAAAAAAAAATTATTGACAGGCCTTCTTAAATGTGGGTCCAAAATGATGTCATGTTTTACACTTTATTTTTACAAGTTCAATGGAAGAAGAGTAAAAGTGGGATTGTTGCAAAAGTTGGGATAACTATTTTGGGACAGCTAAAAATGGAAAATTAAGATAATTAATATGGGACAGAGGGAGTACAAGTTTACAATCAAATTATCATCTCCAATATTCTGATAGCGGAACCTCAGAGAAAAAATGTTTTGCAAGTAGTTAACAAAAATGTTATGGAGTTATTTTTTTAATAATACAAGTGTCTATTTCATCCCCGGAATTATTCTTTAAACAAAATAGTCTAGAGAAAGCAATATTTTATTCTAAACCTCAAAGTTTGTCACGCAAGAAGAGCCTAATCAGAGCAATTCATATGATTGGATCTATGTACTTATGGATGTGTCCATATTTTAATTAAATAAAAAAATTCTTATTCCGAACACTAAGCTGACACATTCAAACTCTTGGCCAACATATCCCACACACATCCCAACACAGGTGCTTTGAAAACAATATGAACACGCCTTGAAGTGTCTAACTTTTGTATCTAAGAAAAATTGACATTATACAAATGGTCACCATGAGTCGAGCATGCAATCAAACTATTTCATATAGGAAAAATATATATAATTGGGATGACAAGAAAGGAGAGTAACAGTACAGTCAATGTAATAATCTTCCCTCATCTTTTAAATTATGTAACTCTTAAAATAGAAACTCTATATTAATTAAGTTCTGTGTCTTAATCCATAATTTATACACAGTAAGATTTATAATTTATATATAGCCGTGGTCACGTCATGTTAGTATCCTATTTTTTTAAGATGTGTTCTGCTTTTCAAAGACATTAAGTTCTGTGTCTTAATCAATAATTTATACACAGTAAGATTTATAATTTATATATAGCCGTGGTCACGTCATGTTAGTATCCTATTTTTTTAAGATGTGTTCTGCTTTTCAAAGACTCAACATGTTGGTGTATCCATGTCGAAGTGTTCGTGTCTGCAATTAAGCAAATGGAAGTACCAACTAGTAGAGAATAAATGCAAAAACATATGCAAAAGGTGCTAAAGATTACATAGCATGATAACAGTTAACAAAGACGAGGAAAGATTGTAATTAAACCTGATATCAGAAACGGAGAAATAGTTGTGATAGGCAAATGTGAAAGTGAATGACTTTCCATCAGTGTTGGTATTTCTTATGCGGGATGTCAACATCAGATCCCCTCCAGGTCCCAGGGTAATCCTCAGGCGAAACTCGTATCTGCAGATCACCAGTGTAAGATTATCTGATAACAGGCCACATCATAAAATTACTTGATCAATACATCATAAAATTATTTTTTGGGATTAGTGTCACCAAGGAATTCAAATAAGATAATATATAAAAATGTATTTACAACACCAAGTAAGATGTAAAAAGTCAAAAAAATTCAAAAAGAGAATAAATCAGTACAAGTAACATCGACTCTACTAAAAAAACTATGTCTGCCACAAACAAAATAATAACTTAATGCTTTACCTTACAGAATTTGACTTAAGGGAAAGCATGGAGCTCAATAAACTCGATCAAAATGCCTTTCTAAAGGACTGTAAGGTCTATTGGATCAAAAAAAAATATGCTACCAAATTTGGTTTGTGCACCTGTGAGGCCATATCTTTGCATCATCTTCAGAGTGTTTAAGGATTAAATCAACATAAGCTTTATTGGAGCTAATTGCTGGGAAATGGGGAGGATCAGGATCAATGCTCCAAAACCTGTTCCTCACAAAACCATGTTGTTCTAGAGGACCATGACTTCCAAACTGCATAAGCAGAGAGATTTTGTTGAAAAAAAAATATATGCAGTGGCCAAAAAGCTAAAAAAGAACTACTGAAGGAGATTTTCACATACTTGAGGAAAACATATTGGAATACCTCCACGGATAGCCTTTGGAGGCTTGAAAGTAGCCTGCAGGAAGCAAAAATTTATTTTAGTAAAATAAATAAATAGCATGTGTAACTATGACACGAAAATTAAATCTTGATTTCACTAGCATCATCCTAATGTTGTTTTCTTTTTTCTAGCTACAGGAATATGAGAAACATACCCCATATTCAACAAGAACTTGGAAGAAAGCAAAAAAGTCTTACCTGCATTCCAATTAAATAATGCTTACGTCATGTAGATAAAATAGCAAATTACAGACCTATCTCACTTTGCAATTTCATTTATAACATAATAGCAAAGATCCTAGCAAATAGGCTAGCTGAAGTGCTTCATTCTATTGTGGGTATGAAGCAGTCTGCATTTATGAGAGGTAGAAGGATACATGATAGCATTTTGCTTGTTGCTGATCTCATTAAGGGTTTTGGCAGTAAAAGAGGGGACCATGCTATGGCTTCAAAAGTGGACTTGAGGAAAGCTTATGATTCACTTGATTGGAAATTTCTCATATCATTTCTTCAGCTGTATGGTTTCTCTGATAAATGGATTACTTGGGTGTTGTGTTCCACTTCTAAATTCTCAGTTCTCTGCAACGGAGTTCCTGCTGGCCTTTCTCCTTCTTCTAGAGGTCTCAAACAGTGCTGCCCATTATCTCCTCTATTTTTCTTTAGTCACTGAATGTTTCTCCAAATTCATGTCAGATGACATCAACTCAAGTTCTGTTATGCTATGCAATTCAGTCATCAAATCTGGTATGGTGAGAGAAGAAGGATTCAAGGCATTCTGCAGTCCAAAGTTGAAGAATTTCCATTCAAATATCTGGGTGTTCCTCTAACTAGTATAAGTGTGATGAGTATGGACTTCAGACCCTCTATTGGATAAGGTGAATGCCAAATTGGATCACTGGAGCACTTCAAACCTGTCTATGGCAGGTAGATTGGAACTGTTAAGGTTTGTTCTATTTTCTTATCTCTATCTATTATTGGTTGTTTGGATCTAACATTCCATAAAGGTGAAAAATTCAGTTAGAAAAGAAGTTTAAACATTTCTTGTGGAGTGAAAAAATTGAATCTAAGGAAACTGCTCTGCTTAAATGGAGTAAAGTGACTCTCCCTTGCTCAGAAGGAGGGTTTAATATTAAAAAGGTTGAGGATGTTGACTTTGCAACCAAAATAATTCTTTGCTGGGATTTTTTGCTCAAGAAAAATAAGCTTTGGGTTCAATGGATCCATGCTAGGTATCAGAAACAGGCAAATTTTTGGTCTGTTTTACCTAAGCAGAGTGATTCTTTTGTTTGGAAACAGATTTTGGGAGTAGACTTTGTGTGGTCTAATATTTCTTCCAAGCTTGAAAATGGCTCTGTGTTCAACTTGTTGGATCCTTGGTGTGATGGCAGTTCCTTGATTCAACGGTTTGATGCTACAGCTTTTAGAAGGATTGACAAAATGGCTGTTGTTTCTTCTGTGATCCTGTTGCATAGTCACAATGTGTTTCTAGTTATCTTCTGTTTCAAATATGTAATCAACCAACCAAATGATTGCCACTTCATCGTACCAGAACTCCATCCACTTCATCCTTGATTGATATCATGATAGCAATCTAATCTATAAATAGGTCGCAGCACAACTGTCAGCATGCTTTTAACACATTCTGTGGCATTCTTTTAGGTTGAAAACCATTTCTATACACTTTATTCATAAAATATTCCAATAATTGGGTGACCAGACCTAGTGCGCTCCCCCCATATGTGACAGGTACAGCGAACAGCCAAACAAGGTAGGGGTAAACTTACGAAATCTAAGTAAAAATCAAACAGGTTTGGGGCAGGGTTGGGAACAAGAAGTACTAACCCCGGCCAATTACAATTTGAAATTACTAAAATACACCTAGATTATTTTAATATTCCTAAAATACACCAATATCTACACGTGTGTGAGTGTGTGTGTGTCATGAGGTTATCCAGTCCCCATAGACAGTTCTCGAACTCCCTAGCCTCTCTCCGTGTTCTGCCTTGTAATTTACCTGACAGTGAATCAACTTGAAGTTGGTGACTAGCGTCGACAAAACGCATCAATAACAATGGTCACAGACCCCATAACCCCCTTTGCTCGAGTCTTCGAGAAGACCAAATCAAGGATGTGATGGGAAAGCTTAGGGTCTAGAATTCTCTTTATTTATTTCCTTGCATTGATATTACTTTTAAAAGTTTTATTTTTTTTCCTTGTTTTGATGTTGAATAATTGGATGATTTATTCATGGCCATATATATGTATATCATGCATATTTATATGTTTGTGTCTGGAGGATTTTTTTTTTTTTTTTTTCCCGGAAAGTAAAAAATTGGGTTATAGATCCACCGAAGTGGGTAGCCTTAACCGGATGTGTTAACAGGTAAGCTCGAAGGTTGTGTCTGGAGGTTGTGATAAGCAGAGTGAGATGAGGACCTGGGTGTCTCGAAGTTAATCGAAGTTGAAGATGGAATGCAATCCTACTGGGATTAAGGCGAAGTTTGTGTCTGGAGGTTGTGATAAGCAAAGTAAGATGAGGACCTGGGTGTCTCAAAGTTGATCGAGGTTGAAGATGGAATGCAATCCTACTGGGATTGAGGCAAAGCTAAGGTGACCGTTCACTTAAAGGGGCGAGGCCCAGAATGGGGACACGTCATCCCATACCCATCCCCATTGCTTTCCTGACTCCACCTGCATGCTAGTTCTAACATTGCATCATTTATGGAATAAATAATACAGGTCACACGTTAGTGAAGACTTCATGTACTCTTCTTGGGGAATTAATTATAGAACCATGTGAAAGTCAAATTAAGATCTTCAATGTTATAAAGGTTCTCAAGCCATAATGCAGACTGCATAGATACAAGACTTGCAATCGAACATACTACCTTACTACTAACAAAAAGCAATTCTTCCCCATGATCATCCTTCCAAGATGTAACTTGACCACCATATAAATACACCTGTTAAACAAAAACAAAAAAACATGATCTTTATGTTCAAACAAAAAACACATGATCTTTATGTCATGATATTCTGGTGAAAATGGATAATGACTTCATTGACAATGAATCAGCAAAGTAAAACTCGACTAAACATAGAAAAGCCTTTTTCCCAACAAAATTTGGTACAAGCACCGTTGTCGGGGATTAAACCCAGGTTGCCTGCATGAGAAAAGGGAAGAAATAAAAAATGTTTTACAGAAATATATTAGTATAACACCTTTTGGCTTCTCCCTACATGATCAACATAGCACCCGAAAGCTAACCAATATAATTTAACGATTGAGTCTATGTCTTTAAAGGAAAACATACTTTGGTGCACAGAGCATCTTTTATTAAAATGATTCGTCCCGCATCTGAAAAATGTAAAACACTAGCCGTTGCATAATGTAATGTCCTTTATGTGACAGATTTTGGGGGAATCAATCTCATTACGCCCCAATAAATGAAGGTGGAAATAGTGTTGTTCATAACAACCATTATGTAATGATAACAACCATTATGTTTGCCTAAACTGGTAAACAATGAGATATCATTTTTTTCCAATTTCTTCAGCTGCTTCTCTTTTGTACTCTCTTCTAAGGCTCCCAATCTAATATTATAGCTTGGATCTAATGATTTAAAGGCCAGAACAACAAAATCTAAGGTTGTTTTCAGATAAAAGCTACATGTACAACAAATACGAGGTATTTTTCTATTTTTTTCTAGGCTGTAGTTAATCTTTTTAAAACTTAGTATAGCATGAATGGTTTATTAATAAAATAAATCTTCATTTGGAAAGATGATCAAGTCTTTTTGTTATTGTTGAAGGAATTATATATTTAAGTTACACCCTCTCTAATAGCTTAAGCTTTTGGAGTAGATGGTTGTTAACATGATATCAGAGCCAAAGGTCTCGAGTTCAAACCTCAAGGCTACCCTTATTAAAAAATAATAATTGTAAAACACGAGTTGGACCAAAAGAAGACCACACGTGAGGGGGCGTGTTGAAAGATTTATATATTTAAGTTACACCCTCTCTAATAGCTTAAGCTTTTGGAGTAGATGGTTGTTAACAGTTATATTATCAATACTAGCTAGTTTAGCCTTTTTTGCTTTTGTTAATTTATTTTATACTTTTTGTTCAACTGACAAAACCACATATATAAGGATCTTCACACCGTGATATAAGGTACCTTGACTTTTTATACCATTATTTTCTGTTTCTGTTCGGTCAATATAACTTCGGTTGGCAAATTTCATAGATCAGAACATGAATCTATAACTTTTATTTTAAATTCTAGATTAGGTTAGAGGGTTTTCATTTAGTGTTAGGTAGAAGATGGAATTCATGCAACATTCAATGATAATCTAGTAATCTTCATCTACAAAGGTATAAAAGTAAATTCATACACTCACCAAATTCATTCCTAGGGTTTCTAAAGTTTCATAATTTCTACCCTTTTTTTTTGCCCCTGTATTGGAAATGGGCTTTTTCCCGGCACGGGGTACAAAAACAAGCAAGGACCATTATGGTATTAATTAGTTGATTTAGAGAAACAGCTAATACCAAATCTTCAGTACCCTCGACGATCTCCAGGTTCATCAACTGCTTCTTCAGTGATTAATCTCTGCCACTAGTCGATCTGAGCAAGAATCTGGTTGATTGTTCAAAACAATATTAGAACACTCTTTGTAATTCGGAAACTTCATTTCATTTTATTTTTCATAAGTAAGGCACTTGGGGATTTTAAGAAAGTTTTAGAAAGAAAGGTAGGTTGAAGTGTAACTATAAGGAGTTGTTTAATAGTTTTCAATAATATGATGGTCATTATATAATTACTTAAAAAAAGTTGTTTTATAAAACAATTTTATATTAAACAATAAGATATTTATGCTTATATTTAGTTCAAAGGTTCAAACTCTTGCATATTTATGTTTCTTTGTTTTCTCCTCTTTCTATCATTCTCTGTTTTCCCCGGCAAGGCACAGTTTTTTTTTTCATTATAAGGTTGATAAAAAATAATATTGCTCTTAATTTCTTAAAGTACAACATTATATATATAAATATATATATTTATTATTCTCTGTGTCCCTGTCCTAATTTTTTAGGATTTGTTGTGTCGCCATGTCCTTGTCATGTCGTATCCGTGTCCTTGCTTCTTAGTATATAATCTAACGGAAACAATAGACTAAGCAAAAGAAATTCTCTTCTCATTATCATAAAGTTTTTCTCTCTTAGATGCTTTAGAGGTTTTGATGGATATCCTAGACTGACTATAGACTGATATATATAGCCAATATAGAGGACCCATGCCTTTTGGTAAGTTGAATCCTTGTAAAAATTTGTTTTGAAGGGGTGATCGAAAAATAAACTCCCTTATGGTTCAATAGATCGGCATCAATGGACACTTACCAACGACATCTGGATCAACTGAGCCATCAAATCGAGGGCTGCTGGAGTTCAATAAACAGTTTTCTAGAAAAATTCTATTTATCCACCTATCAATCTAGGTTTGAAGAAAGAAAAAAAATCTAGGTTTACTGCAGGGCACTCGAACAATCGACCTATCGATCAACGCATACTATTTTCCAGTAAAATTTAAAAAAATAAAAAATAAAATATCACTCTTTTTTTTACCCTCAGGGTTCGAAAGGAAAAGAAACGGAAAAATTTTAAATTGTTTAGGAGATTGGTTAGCGTGAAAAGGAAAATTTTCAGGAAAGTAAAATTCGTGCAAGTGATTGATTTTCCCTAAACTGTTTCCCACATAAAACACTGGAAAATTTTAGTTTCTCACAGAAACAAACCGTTGCCTTAATATGTTATTTTCCTATTATGCCCTTGTTGGTTATTTCTCTGGGTTCTTCTTGCTTTTCTTTCTATAGACTTCACACAATGGAATCCTATATATCCTCATGTGTGTCTAGATGATTTAACTTATATTTGTTTATTTATTTATACTAATTCTTCCTAAATCCAAACGTGTAAAGAGTATTTATCTCTATTATTAGAGACTATGCTAGTCTAAGAATTATGTACTCTTGCCCAATATTTGAACATCAACATCCAATTTTAGTGTGAATCTCCATGGCTAAATATAAGTAATTATATTACTTATATTTAATAGTTTAACATTTTACTGTCTTTGCTAAAAATGAATATAAATTTATCTAACACAAATTCGTTTATTATTATTATTTTTTTACTATTTGAAATTATAAGGGTAGTTTTGGTAATTAGAAACATTTTCTTTTCCATTTCATGCTATCCAAACTATAATGTTTTCTCACAACTTTCTTGAAAAATACGGGAAACTTGATTTTCCTTTCTTTCACTTCACTTTCTTTCACTTTCACTTTCAGTTTCCATCATAATTTTCCGTCTAACCAAACGGACCCTCAATGAATTGGGAATCATGTTACTATGAACATTTCAGTAAGGTGGTGGCATACCCTCACTAGCAACAAAGGAAAAGAAATGAAAGCCAATCTAACTCAATAACAAAGGAGAGCCAAGAAAAAGAAATAAAACATCAACTGAACTTTCTAAGGTAGTAGGTTGAGAGTGTCAATCATTGCAAACAGCAAAGAAATCATTCTCCAAACCATTATGAAGTCTCGAATTTCATTCTTCCAAATCAACCACATCACTACTCAAAAAAAGCTTTTAGAGACCTCATCGAATAAGCAAGCCTTGAAGGCTTGAAGCTATCCTTGAACCAAGTCATCACCTCCAAAAGAGTGGACAGAATGGAAAAATTCCAGCTAAGAAGAGGCAAACCAGTTCAAAACCACGGGAAAGCCAGAAACTAACCTCTACATTGATCCCAAACATTCCTGAAACAGAACCTACCGTGCTTCCACACAACTTTATCATCTCCACTATGCAAGTTTAAATGACTAATGTCCTCCAAAACCTGTCTCAAAATACCAAGAACCTTGCACAATAATTTGCTGCAGTAAAGCACCTTTGCCAGTCCAAAACACCTCACAATTCTGTGACCATATCTTTGAACCAAAGATTTGCCGTCAAACCAAGGGTCAAAAACAAACTGAAGCTAGAACCTAACCCAATACTAAATTAAAATTCTTTGCAACAAAAATTCCTTTACTTCCAACAAATACTTCGAGACCTTAAAGACTAAGGAGAAATAACTGAACGCGAGTGACTATCAAGAGCCAAATATCTCCCTCTTGAACCAGGAAACCCACAGGCTAGCTTTGGAAAGAACAAGATCACAAACCCAGATAAATCCACAATCCTCTTTAAACCAAAACCACCCCTCCAACTCATCAAATATAATATCTTCCTCTCAACTGAACTTCCCCACAAAATTTCTAAGTTTCATCTTCAAAATATTAGGCTGGAATCTTGTAGACTAAGCACTAAAAGTACAAAAAAGATGAAACCACTGTCCTAACCAGCTCTACCCTTCCAGCTAAGGACATATTCAGCCCATTCCACCTGCTTAAAGTTGCTGTCACTTCATTAATTAGAGAACCACAAGAAGACTTCTTCAAGCCATGCTCCTGTAGAGGATACCCAAGTATTAGGCAGGAAATAAAGCTTCCCTGCATTGAAACAGCCTAAGAATAGCCCTCTTTCTTCTAACAAATTTCACAACAAAATACACAAGACTTCTCCGGGCTCATGCTAAATTCCGAAAGCAATGCAAAAACCTTGTGAAATCTACTTAGAACACTAGCAGTATCCAAATGAGTTTTAATCACAATGAACAAATCATAATACCTAAACCCAGTCATTTTCATTGCAGAAGTAACATAGATACCACCGTTTCTGACCTCCTTATCCATTAAAGAAGTGAAGTATCTGTGACAAGAATGAAAAGAAGGGGGGACAAGGAACAACCTATCTAAGGCCTCTACCCGCTTTAAAGAAGCCGAAAGGAGATCCATTTAACATACTGAAAACTGAGCAATTGAAACACACTCTTTCACCCAAGCAATCCAGTGAGAAAAAGGGCTACACCAACTCAGCCCATTGTGGGGTCTGAGGAGGGTCAGATGGGTGAAACCAATTTCAATCAAACAATATTCACATCATCTAAAATGGTTGGAAAACCAAACTATTGAGGACTTTACCATATCTTGTATATGTTCATTTGTTGTAACCATAAAAATAGTCCCACCGATCCAATATAGTACGTGGGTAAGCCACATATCCCTGCGGTCCACAACTTACAAAAAGGTTCCAAACATAGTACCATTTAAAACTGTATAATTACAAAGGCAGGAAATTCAAATAATTTGGTTAAACCAATCTCAATCAAACGACATTCGCATCATAGAAAATGGTTTGAGAACCCGTTTATTGTGTATGTTGCTAGATCTTGTATACGTTCATTTCTTGTAATGATAAAACATAATCTCGTCGAAACCCTATATCTTTCAGTCATACATTACAAAATGGTTTAAAGAATGCACTATTTATATTGTCACAACCCAATTTCCTTATACCTAAACCAAAAACCCAATCTCCTTGTAACCAGAAATATTTTACAGTCAGAGAGTTTGAATTATCGAAAGAAACAACACAATTATCACAACATAAATCAAGCTTCAAATCCATATGCATGCATATACGCGTGTGTGTAATGCATTCTATGAATACCTCCGCAGAACTGCCGCGAACCTCTCTCAAGACCACCTTGTCGAGGCCATTAATGCCCTTACAGTGCTGCACATACACCACATCGCCCGACATCATATTAACCCAAACCCTTAAAACTGCCAATTTCTCACAACTCCCAATTTCTCTCTCTTACCTATCTCTAGAATCTCGAAACTGTTGACGGGTCCGGAGAAAGGAAATAAAAAGAATTCGGTGCGTTTCAAATTTGAATCATGAAGTGGATAATTTATTCTTTTAAAAATTTTTATATATTCACCTATTAATTTATCTCGTATTCATCACGTAATTTCTTTTACGGTATAAAAATAACTTTAAAATGGGAAAGTTGTATGTATTATGGTCACAGTTTAAAAAATATATTTATGGTAACAGTGAAATATGTTATGTCTAAGCACAGAAATCTAGGAATCACACAAAACCATACTGCCATTAGACAAAAATACGTTTGAAAAAGGAAAAATACTAATCTAAAATGTATTTATATAAAAATAATTAGGAAGCTGATATCAGCGAATTTGGATTCTCTTAATTATCTTAAGTTGAATTTTTTAAATCATAACATGCGTAAACATAATAACATGTGTAATTAAGATATATTTACGACCAACATTAAATCACATCAATTAATTTAGTAAAATTTAAAAAATTACACCGTTTTAAGGTAAAAAAAATTTTACTCTTCCCAGTTAAAATTCCTCTAAATTATCCTAAGTTGAATTTTTTACATAATGACATGTGAAATTAAGATATATTTACAACCTATATTAAACCACAACAGTTAATTTAATTAAATTTTAAAAAATTACATCGTTTTAAGGTAAAAAAACTTTACTCTCTCTCTCTCCTCTCTCCTATAAGATCTCCTCTTTTCTCAAAAAAAAAAAAAAAAAAGATTGCTCTTTATCTCTTTGCTGAAATAATAGTATTGGCTTTGATGAAGAAGGTGATTTGATTAAAGAAACTTGAATAGTAGATTTTCAATTTAATAATATATAGTGTCTGATTAGATGAATTTTGTAAAATTTATAAAAAAAATTCCACATTGACCCAGGGAAAAAAAATTATAAAATTTAAGTTTTTGAACATAGTTTGCCATGATATCAACATAAAAAAGATGTTCTTCATTATTTAGAAATACTAAATCTTTAGTTGGTAATAACTAGATGCATTTTTATACAAATTCAGATTTAAACTGAAGTATATATATATATGGTTAAAGTATTTTAAAACTTTTTTATCTAAAAATTGTGCAGTTTCCTAACTTTTATTATATTACCTGAAGTGATTTAACATAAGATATATATATATATCTTAAATGACACATGTCATTCTATAAAAAATTCAACTTAAGATAACGTAGAAGAGTTTTAACGAGGATCAAGTCCGATATTAGCACCCCACTGCCATGATATCAACATAAAAGAGACGTTCTTCATTATTTAGATATACTAAATCTTTAGTTGGCAATAATTAGATGCATTTTTATACAGATTCAGATTTAAACTGAAGTATATATATATATATGGTTAAAATATTTTAAAGCTTTTTTATCTTAAAATTGTGCAGTTTCCTAACTTTTATTATATTAGCTGAAGTGATTTAACATAAGCTATATATATATATATATATATATATATATATATATATATATATATATATATATATATATCTTAAATGACACATGTCATTCTATAAAAAAAATTCAACTTAAAATAACGTAGAAGAGTTTTAACGATGATCCAAGTCCAATATTAGCACCCCACAGTTATCCTCTCATACTTTATTTCTTAAAATAAAATTACAAAAGAGTCTCTATATCACAATAGGTTTATTTTTATATTTTTAATACCATAATTGCCGTCCATATCAAATTCTTTTTAACATTTCCTATAATTTTATATTAGGTTCAATCTTTGTACGTGGGCCTCTTTAACAAATCTTGGACTGTTTTACAATTCTAACTCCTCTAATTCATTAATTTTTTCTCTCAGGTTTTCTCTTAAATTAAAATTTGACGAAACTTAGTGTGTATCGATTGGCATGGCTATATAAAAAAGGGTTGCGATCAAAAAATACCCTTATGGTATGCATATAGAGAATATAACCCCTTTATATTCTAAAAACTCCTTAAAATTCAAATTTGGTGCAAACAAGGACCTAAATGCTAAAAAGACTAAAATATCCCTCTATAACTGAATAAAAAATAGGTAAAAAAACTTAATTAAATATGACAAATGTGTATATATATATATATAAAAGGACATTATCGAAAGAGAGAAGCGTACTTTTTAAATTTTATATCTTAAAATTGTCATGTGCAATGCGTATGACTAAATTTTTAACAAAATAGTGACTTCAAGCCCTTCTTTGCCACATTTTTTAAAACTTAACGGACTTATAAACTCAAAATAAAGAATAGGGGTATTATTTGCTCAAAATGTAAACATTAGGAGTGTTTTCTCACTTTTCCCATATATGGGCATTACCAGAAGAGATAAGGGTATTTTCAGAATTTCATGTCTTAACAGTGATTCAAGCCCTTCTTTGCTCATTTTTAAAACTTAACGAACTTATATACACAACATATGCCCTTTTTTGCCCATTTTTTCAAACATAACGAACCTTTTATCCATAACATAAAAGTTAAGGGTTTTATTTGCCCAAAATGTAAACATTAAGAGTGTTTTTCTCACTTTACCCTATAAAAATAAGAAAATAAAAAGGTTGGAATGTATAATTCTTAGTGAAACGACCAGAACCAGGGGGTTTGAATCGCTATTCGGGTCCTTACCTGAACCCGAGGTCAACTAAGGGCAAAATGGTCATTATGCCCTTTACTATGAGTTAGGAGTCGTAATTGTAATGACCTAGTCATTTTCCTTCATTTCCCTTTTCTGAAATTTTACAGATAAATTTTTTCCGTTGAAATTTCTTTTCTGAGTTTGGTTACTCATCACTTAATGTCTTCTCGAGTGCTCGGAAATGGTTTTCGAGACTCTTTCCTTTGGATTGACAACTTCCTTTAAGGACCGAGTCATTTCCACATTTTCATTTTTTGACACTATTCACTTTTCGTCTTTTTTCCGAGAATGATTTTTTCGCGTAACCTCACTTTTTGTGCTCAGATTAGGTTCCGATTTTGCATGCATCCATGATATGTTATTTCCATGATATTTGTATTTTTACTTTTCTAGAAAAGTATGCTAGTTGTTTACTTTTACGTAAAAAGGGCATTGATGCATAGTTTCTTTGGAAACATTATTTGTTTGGGGTTTTTTCGTAATTATAAAAAGTAATTATTTTATTTCTTAGGAACCTTTTTGCAATTTATTTTAGAAGATATTTTCAAAATGGACCTTTTTGCAATTACCGGAAAATGTGACAAGTGTTGCATTCCCATTGGTCCACTTGTAAGCATCTCATTGGTTTACACTTAAAAACCTTGGATGATGACATGTGGAGGGTAAAGATTCACCCACTTGTTGGCCTAGCATTGATGCACTTGTTGGCTTGGATTGTTGACAAGTGTAGGCTTTAGATTAAGCCTAGAATGAACCATTGGATTAATGACAAGTGTAGGCTTCTAATTAAACTCTAGCTTTTGTGTGTGTGAGGGGATGGTGCAAGACTGGGTGTGTTTGACTTCCATTGACCAAGTGAGTGGAGGAATACACTAAAGTGTTTTAATTATTTTATTTTACACATTAAACTTCTTCTTCCTCACTTAGAACCCTAGCTACCATCGAAGGAAACCATTAACCTAGGCTTAAAACCTTGGTTTTGACCTCCTTCCACTCACCTTAGACCTAAAAGCTTGGAACACAAAATGCTTGCCTCACCTTCCTCTATATAACCCTTGAAGAAAATTGTAAAATTCCTTTGTTTACTTTGGATTCAAGAGGAACAATCCTCTTGTGAGGTAGGGGGTGATTTAGGTTTTTAATCTAAGTGTTTTAATTGCTTTTATAGCTTACAATAAATTGTTTACATGTCTTATACTTAATTTTTAAATTAATAGGTTATAGTACCTTGCATGAAATTAAGTTAGGACATGATATTCTCGAAGGCCGTGACTTGATCTATAACTTGTATTAGTATAAAGTCATTTAGAGTTGTTTTAGAATCTAGAGATTTAATTATTTAGAATTAATTAATTTTTATTTAATTGTTCCACTTACTTAATTAAGTTTTTGAGTGGATATATGTGATTACCATGATAATACCATTGGAATATAATTATTTGGAGTCATTTGAAATTGATTTAAATTCTAGAGAAATTAATTAGTTAGTTTAATTAATTTCTATTCAAGTATTACATTCATTAATTTTTAAATTGAGAATATTTGAATGAGTTTAAGAAACTTTATTTAATTATTTTCTTGTATGAAATTTAATTCACCTAATTGTATCTAGTGTAGAATTAATTTGTAACTTGATTTTAAACAATGTCTTGAAATGTTCTTTCATATATATTAAATAGAGAATATTTGAATGAGTTTTGAGAAATTTATTTAATTATTTTCTTGGCATTGATCTTAAATTACCTTGTTGTAACTAAGGTAGAATTGGCTTGTAACTTGAAATTAAATTAGGCTTTGTTATGACCTTTGACATATAATATATTTAGAATTTTTGGAGTTGCATTATAATCTTGAGAATTTAATTATTTAATTTAATTAAGTTCCATTTGTATGCTTTCATTGAGGTAATTAAGTATTGATGTTATATTCTTACTTAACTTATAATTTGCAACTTACTTGGTGTATGATTACAAGATGGTATTCCATGAGTAGAAGTTATGATTTAACTCGTTGTATACACATTATACTTATATGACATTTAATATGCCATTGTAGCTTGAAGGCCTAGAGCATATCTTATGTGTATTCCATGACTTGGTTATGCATGGTAATTGACAATGTGCATTGTGTATATGTGATATACTTGTTGCACAACTTGATGATTTTTTAGAAAGCTTGTATGGATATTGTAATATGTTAAAGCTAGAGTATGTCTCTAATACGGGGGATGAGAGTTCCCTTTACAACATATAGTGTGCACTTGGTAGTTCCTTGCAGGCTAGTAACCCGAGATCACTTGTTTGGTCATTGAGACCATATGTCCTTTGTCTTTCCGCCATTGGTTGATTTCGCATTCAATTCCTAGTTGTAATTGTGGATTACTTTTAACTTGTGTTTGGACGCA